CACCACACCTGGCTAAGTTTTTGATTTATTGTAGAGACGTGGTCTTGCCAAATTTCCCAGACTGGTCTCGAACTGCTGGGCTCACACAATCCTTTTTCTTCTACTTCCCAAAGTGCTGGGATTCCAGGTGTGGGCCAACACACCAGACCTACCTTTACTTATTTATTTATTTTTTGAGAGACAGGGTCTCTGTTGCCCATGCTGGAGTACTTTGGTGTGATTATAGCTTACTGCAGCTTCAAACTTCTTGGCTCAAGCAAACCCCCCAACTGTGCTTCCCAATTAACTGGAACTATAGGTGTGTACTACCACTACCTCGCCTGGCTAGTTCTTTTTATTTTTTGTGGAGTTGGTGTTTCTCTGTGTTGCCCAGGTTGGTCTTGAACTCCTGGGCTCAAACAGCCCCCTTGGCCTGTGCCTCCCAAGTAACTGGAGCTATAGGTGTGCACCTCCACCACCTTACCTGGCTAGTTCTTTTTAATTTTTTGTGGAGATGGGGTTTCTCTGTGTTGCCCAGGCTTATCTTGACCGCCTGGGTTCAAGCAATCCTTCTGCCTAGGTCTCCCAAAGTGCTGAGATTACTGGCATTGAGCCACTGCGCCCAGCCAGCTTACTTTTTTTAAAAAAATGACAGTGATATTTATTAAGTATATAAACTTTAATAATTATTGCTTCTCCTGTTGGAATTTAAACTGTAACGAGTCTTATGTTAATATGGACTATTATTTTTGACGTGGTTACTGCTTTACAGTATGAATTCAGTTTTTGTCTGCAATCAGTATTGCTATACTTTTAAGTTTTGAGCCTTTTCTTGTGCCTTCCCCAAGGTCTTTATTTTTTAATTGTATGTATCACTGTGCCTCATGTACATGTGTGAGTATATATATGTAAATAAATAAAATGTAGACATGTAGTTATATCTAAAATATATGTGTGAAGTATGTTTTACATGTCTTGATAGTTGTTGTCTTTTAGTAGGGAATTTAACTTATTTATATTTATTCATGGAGTTGAATGTTAGATTAACAGGCATTAACATTTTAGTCTTACATAATTTTTTAATAGACTTTGAAAGGCTTTTTGTTGTATTCTGTTTCTTATTCAGTATTCCTAATTAGAAATGATGCTTGATTCTCCTTTCTTTGTAAATAGCCTGTTTTCTTTTTCGTGGGCCTCCTAGAATTTTACCTTTATCCTTGTTATGTTAAACAGTGTTTGTATATATGGGATGTTTTTACTTGAAGCTAGGGCTTTGGGAGTTTAGGGAAGAATAGTGACAGAGGTTAAGAATGGGTACATTTGTAGGGATACAGATTATCAATGGAACAGAGATAAACACTTTTGGTATTTTAGTTCCTCATCTGTTAAATGGGGATTATGCTTAATTAAATGTTATTACTATATAGGTTCATAAATTTTCTTGTAGAATAATTTTTGTGATTATAATCCCTCTATTTACTCCCCTTCTGGTACTCTTGGTAAACAGATATTGAATTCTCTGGATTAAATTTCTGTGTCATTTTACTTCTTTCTTTTAACTTTTTATCTTTGTTCTTTATTAGGAGATTCTGAGAGAATTCTAACTGCTAATGTTAAGACAATATTGTTGAAGGTTAAAAACAAGTTTGGAGAATGGAAAGACAATACTTGATATTCTTAGAGCATAAAGTCTAAAGTCATTTCCACAGTTGATACAGAATAACCCTAGATAATTAATTGAACAAGCTGTGGAATATTCTTTTAACTTCTGTTATTGTTTCATGATATAACTTTAATCTCTGAAGTTTTGCTGATTTGAGGATTTTTTTTTATTAATCGTTTATTTTGAGAGATTTTTCTGTATTTTTGTATATTAAGTAAAAGTTTTAGAAGTTTCCCAGGTATCATCATCATCATCATCATCATCATTATTTGTGTCTCACTCTGTTGCCCAGGCCAGGTATCATCATCATCATCATCATCATCATTATTTGTGTCTCACTCTGTTGCCCAGGCTGGAGTGCAGTGGCACAATCACAGCTTACTGCAACCTTAGCCTCCTAGGCTCACACGATCCTCCTGCCTCAGCCTTCTAATATTTTTATTGTAGAGACAATGACTTGCTGTATTGTCCAGGCTGGTCTCAAACTTTTGGGCTCAAGCAATTCTCCTGCATTGGTCTCTCAGAGTGCTTGGATTATAGGCATGAGTCATTGTGCCTGGCCAGACTCATTATTAAAATTGATAATATGAGCTGTCATTGAGTTTTTTCTTTTAACGTGTTTTTGAATTAATGTCAGAAGACATAACACTTTATTTTTTTCTTTTCTTGTTTGTTTTCTTTAATGATTAAAAAAGTAGAAAAGAATAAAATACTATGTAAGAGCTTTATACATTGACTTAAATAAATCAATTGATAATGCCATTTAAAAGCTCATCTCCCCTCCCCAAATGTTAATTAGCTTTGCAATTGTTACTCATACATATTATATTAATATAACTTGTTTGATTTCTGATGTTTGGTGTATGAGAGTGTTGACTTTAGAGAAGATCCTTGTGGAAATTTATTCTTTGATGTTTCCTATAATTTTACAAATACTTTTTGTTTGGCTTAGGAAGATATATTACAGCCTGTGTATATAGCATACATTTTCTTCTAGTGCCGAATGTCTGTCATTAGTTATGTAACTGTATTTGAAGAATTCAGTTACTTGCAGGGTTTTATTTCCCTTCTTTTATTCCCTGATATCATCATATGATACTGTAAGTTAGTATATTGGATTTATTCCAGTACTTTTCATAGTAGCTTAGCTAATGTCATATAATATTTTTCAGTAGAAATATGATTATGAGAACATATTGATGTTTTTGAAATGACAGAGATGTTTTAAAATGATCAGTTGAGATTATTTTTCTCCTTATTATGCAGTTAACAAAATTCATTATATTTTATCGACCAAAATTATTTTTAGTGCAAAAGGCTTCTGCAAAACTTGCCATATGGTATCAAAACAAGGGATTCTAGATTTTAACAATTTAGCAGAAATTGTTTTATTATTTTAATGAGTTATTATAGGCATTTCTCAACAGATATGATTGTGTGCTTGCCTAGATTTTTTTTTTTTTGAATCAGAGTCTCACTCTGTTGCCCAGGCTGGAGTGCAGTGGCAGACAATCCTTTCACCTCAGCCTTTCAAGTATCTGGAACCTCAGGCATGCACCACCATACCCAACTAATTTTTTGATTTGTTATGTAAAGACAAGGTATTGCCATGTTGCTCAGGCTGGTCTTGAACACCTCAGCTCAGAGAATCCCCTAGCCTCTGCCTCCCAAAGTACTGGGATTATAGGCATGAGCCACCGAGCCTGGTATTTTGTAGATATTTTATTGGCCTTTCCAGTAGGATGTTTAGACTACCAAGATGTAATACTTTTGGTTAATTCTGAGTTCTGTTAATTTGCTAACCATTTACTTTTGGAAGTTACAATATAAAAATAGAAACTATTTTACAAAAACCGGTTATTATATTTTGTCAACGAAGAGAAATAAGGGTTTATTCTGTCTTCTAGTGCGGCAGCACCCTCAAGTACAAAAATAGAACTAAAATGTCTATTAGTCAGTAGATTTGTGGACATCATATAAAATTAAAATGTCGCAAATGTAATTAGTGTTTGTGAGTTAATTAGAAGCTACTGTGGTCTGTTGACTTGTGTTTAGAATGTGTAGAGACAGACCAAGAGTCCCTCAGCTTTCTTACATGGATTTGCTGCAGTGGATTGATGATAATTAGGAAGAGTTTGGTAGTGTGTGATAGCTCACACAGATTTATACACAAAATGTTGAAAGCAATGATAATTTTAACACTGTTGCATACTCTGATTAGCAGAATTTAGAGTCAGTGTATTAGCATGTGAAAGTGTTCACACTAGTGTTAGCTGGGTTCCAGCGGTCTCTGTCGCATGAGGCTCCAGTTGTTTCAGCTGGAGTATTTATGAGCATACTTACATTACCACAAGTGAAGTCCATTTAGGACATGTAAATTTGAACACCTGTTTATTAGAGCCTATGTCAAGCAGCATTCCTGGTGCTATAGATACAAAGAGTACAGTCTGATGTGTCTACTCAAGAATCTTGGACTAGGGTGAGAAAATATAAATAATTACCATGTAGTGGCATAAGCTAAAATGGAAGTATGTTTAAGTTAGACAGGCATTTTCTCCAGAGCGATTTATCAAAGGCTCCACAAACAAAATGATACTCAAAGTGGGCTTGGGTGGATGAGGAAGAGTTTATTAATATTAGAAAGGAAAGGAAAACTGAATAAGTGAACGCAACATTTTAGAAAATTCATATTGACTTCTTATGAATTCACTTTCCCTAGACTTCCCCTGTTGTTTGTTTGGGGCTTATTTCTTTAGAGGCAGGTTGAAACGCAGGAGGAAAAAAAACACCCAGATGACTTAATTTTTTTCTATCTTTTGTTATAGAACTTTAAAACTAATTGCTACAGTGAAATAATTATGTTTTTGTGTGTGCCTTTAGCCATTTATGTATCCCAGTAACTTATTTTATGATTTACTTGTTTATTTTATATTGATTTTGGGCAGGGTACAAAGTAGTAATAGGTCTTATAAATAATATATATTCCTATTACCAATTTTGTAGAGCTTTAAAAACTGTTATAATAATCCTCAACTAGAAACCTGCCTTTTTAATTACGTTACTATTTGCTTAAAAAAAAAATATATATATATATATATGTATTTACTTCTATGTTTTGTTAAAGTAAGTAGAAAAAATGTAAAATTCTAACTTACTAATTTGAATGGAATGATGGCATATTAAGCTCTAAACCGATTATCTTAGATTTTATTATTTTTAAGTGATTATTTAGTATTTTACAGGTTCAAATTGTTTTACTTGTAATGTTCAAATGCTTTTTCATACCTTCATAGTCCTATATCTCACTATTTCATTTCAAGTCATTATAAAGAAATTTCTCTCCTTTATCCCCTTTCAGCGATGTGCATTTTGTAAGCACCTTGGAGCCACTATCAAATGCTGTGAAGAGAAATGTACCCAGATGTACCATTACCCTTGTGCTGCTGGCGCCGGCACCTTTCAGGATTTCAGTCACATCTTCCTTCTTTGTCCAGAGCATATTGACCAAGCTCCTGAAAGATGTAAGTTTGCTACAGATAAAGTTTTAAACTTCTTTCAATGTATTTACTTAAAATAGCAAATGTTGTAAATTCCCTGGGTGTTACTTTACCTGTATTAAAAGATAATATTGCATAGACTTGACAATCTGAGTGGTCTTTGCCAGAGGTTCTTGGGGGGGGGAATCTGTTACTAGCGATTTTATTAAAGTTAAGTAAAAAAAGGTACTCCATCAGAAAGTCAAATATAGTTTGAATATTTTTATTCTTATTAAAATTTTTTAGAAATATTGAGTATTCAGTATTTCTGATATGCACTGTAATGTAATTCATTAAAAAGTTAAGCAGTATTCAATGCCTTTAACACTGAAAAACCACCTAGTTGGAGTATTAGAAGATGATTCACTCAGGTATCATTTCAAGATGTATATTCATAGGAACATCAAACATTTCTGAAATTCTTAGAAATTGTATAGCCCTCATAGCCATGACAGAAATGTTTCAAATTTATGTTATATAGGAAATCCTAACTCTTTACTTTCTTTATCATTAAACAGAGCTCTTTCCTTTTTAATGAGCATGTGGGATCAGTTTTTTTCCTAGTCAATTGAGTTTCCAGTCTCATTGTGAAATCTCCATGGTGTTTTAGTCAATCTTTTGTTACCTCTTACTTACCTAATTGTTAGTTTTTACTTGTTTCTTAGCAATGTTGATAAAAGTTTTTTTTCCTATCTTTTCCAGGTGTGTAAAACATAAATATAGCTACCTCAGGCTTAAACTAAAGTAATCTAAAATATAATTAGATTACGTGATCATTACTTTTTATCTTTGTTGAGGACCATAATTTATTTTCACTTAAAATTATTTTGTGTCCACATATACAGTCATTACCTTTAGTGACTATACAGACATAAATTATAGGTAAGGGAAACTGAAATTTCAAATTATATTTAGGCTAATAAGGGATTTAAAGTTTAAAAAACTGCTTTGTATTATATACTCTTAAATCTGGGAGAAAAGAACATTCATACATAGCAACTAGTATATGGCTATTATTTATGTACTGCATTACTTCAGTCATTGCAGAAACTGAGATGTCAGTTATCAGTTAATTACATTCTGGGTGGTGAAATACATACACATTGCCAACTGAATAAAACAATTTTGTGCTTATGTATGAATCTGAATTTTTTCAGCCTTTTGTATTTAATCATACTTTAGACCTCAGTAAATAGCACATGAACTTTTTATGAATACTGTTTTTTTGTTTTTTGGGGTTTTTTTTGAGTTGGAGTCTCACTCTGTTGCCCAGGCTGGAGTGCAGTGGCATGCTCAAAGCCACCTGAGCATCGACCTGCTGGGCTCAGGTGATCCGTTCACCTCAGCCTTCCAAGTAGCTGGAACTACAGGTGCATGCTTCCACACCTGGCTGATTTTTTGATTTATTTTAGAGATGAGGTCTTGCCAAGTTGCCCAGGCTGTTCTCGAATCCATGGACTCAGGCAATCCCCTCACCTCAACCTTCCAAAGTGCTGGTTTAGAGGTTTGAGCCATCACACCTGGCCAATTTGGTTCTAATGTTAGAAATTTTATTACTTAATGCCAGTGCTACTTTCTAGTGATAACTATGTTCTCCGCTCTATGTTACCAATCATAAATCAGTTTGTAAAATAGCAGATTGTAATAACTGAGGTGAGCTAATTTGCCTTCATTTACCATGTATATAATGAAAAGTTTCTGGCAACATAAAGTTAAAAGATAAAGTAAAATTATTGGTACTATGCCTTGTTCCAAAATAGACTTATGGAGACTCATAAAAATATATGAACAATGAGTAAAATAAAACTGACAATAAGTAAGGAAATTTGGCCATGGAAAATATAGATAGGATAAATATCAAGGAAGGTAATGGTGAGACTGATACCACCCAAAATGTATAGTTCTGTTTTTAGCCATATATTTGGTTCATACCTTTTCAGCTGTCAGTACAAAGAAGGAAATATGACATTATCTGATTTGTACAATATATAGCAAGAATTCATTTAATATTGAGACTGGAGGGTAAATTGACACTATATATTACATTGAAAAATTGTCTTAAAGTGGCTACCTTGCAGTAGGAAAAAAAAATCCCACAAGACTGTTTATTATAACAGCCTTCAAAGTAAACCAGTGGTATTAATCCAAGGCCCCTTGCCTAAATTCTGTTCCTTGGGTATCTTACACAATGCATTTTAAAAACACAACTCTCTAACCATCTGTCTTAATTCAAGAATATAATTTAGCAAATATTGCCAATAGAATGTATTGCTTTCTTCATGAAATATTTCTTAAATATTTTTATCTATCCCCATTGTGTGTCATAGCACAAGGTACTTTTTATGTTTTTAAAGTAGGGATATCTTAAGTCATAGTGTTATTATAGAGGTTGTATGACAACAATTAATGAAAATTACATAGCATTGTGGCTTGTTTATGTTAATTATCTTTTAAAAGGTAGTTATTTTTGTTCCTATCTAAGACTCAAGTTATGAGAATAATAGTACATATTGAGTATATGCGTACATCTTTCTGTTACTGCCTAAGTGCAGAGAAATATGTTGTGATAGCAGAGCTGGGAGTAAGATTGACATTTTTATGAAAGTTGAAAAATCTCACAAAAGCATGCATCTCATTGGAATGAAATCCCATTAAAGACAGTTATCTGTGAACAAGGCCAAGATTTTCGTCTGAAAACACTTTGCAGTGGTCTTCATAGGCTGGTCATGGCTCTGACATTGTTTTCATGATAATGCAGAGATACACTAACTTTGTCTGGAAATTTTACACTAAATATTCATCTAGGAGATATAACTAGATATACTTTCTAAGTAGGAAAGCTGAATGACAAGGAGCCAGTCATGCAAGATCAGAAGGAACATTCCAGGGAGAGGGAACAACTACTACACAGACATTGAGGAATGACGTTGGCATGCCTGAATCATGAACAGACAGCTAGTCATTGCACTTGGAACATAGTAGTCTCTTAGGTAGGTAGCAGAGACAACGTCAAGGTGAACAAAGCCTAGATCACATAGGCCTTGTAAAGCAAGGGAAGGAATTTGGATTTTATTCAGTCTGCAGTGAGAAGTCTTTGCAGGATTTAAAATTGAAATGCTACATATCATAATTCACCCCCTGTTCCTTAATGTACGTACTCATGATTTAGATTTAGTTCCTTTTACTTGCCTTGAGCTTTAATTCCAGCCTCTTTTCCTTCATTATCTTTATATCTCTTTACATTAAGTCCTGCTATTTTTCTGTTACCCTAAATTCTGTCAGTCCCTCACGTTTCTTTCTTATCTACCTGCCAACTTTATGGGCCAGCCTCTGTGGATGACATCCATGGTTTACCTTTTTTCTTTCTAGAGATTGATAGGCAAATGACCCATCATGATGTCTTGCCATTAATGAAAAGTAGAAGAAGATAGGCATTATAATGTTGATGGAAGTGAGAAACCTGTGCTTCTTAATAAACCTATGCTGAATGGCAGCAATTTGACTTTTGTTGCTCTTCACCAGTGCTTTTATTGTTATGTGTTGTACGGATTTTCTTATGCAATAGGCTCACCTTCCAATTTGACCAAGTTTAAAGATATGTGATAAACTCCCTTCTAATTTAAACTCAGTGTTTTTGTCTTTTCCTTTATCTTTTCTCTTTTCACAGCTGTCACTTGGGAAATGCCTTTCTCTAAAGATTATCCTTTTGTTTTTACCATTTTCTCCTGCCACAATAACCTTGCTCCCCCTACTTCATTCATTTAGCTTCTTCATTGTATGCCTCTGTTGGCATTTTCCTGTCTATTTAAATGTATATTCAGATACTCTTCACTTTTGTTGATTAGTGGTAAAGTTTGCTTAGGAGTCAATATTGATTAGTAGTCAAGAACTAGATCTTTGGGGCCAAATAGACCTGAATTTTAATTCTGTGTTCTTTTTAATTATCTTTAGCTGTAGCCTTTCACTCAGTCTGTTTTTTCAAGTTAAAAAATTTTGTTTACCTAATTGATTATTGCTTCAAACTTAATATCTCGTCTCTATGGCTTGCAGGCATATATGTATGTGTATATATGCATATACTTATTTCTGACGTGACACCAGAACTATCCATAGAAACATCATCTCCTTATACATGACCTCCAAAAGGCTGTTTTGGTATTTCTACACGTATTTTCTCCCTCACTGGGTAGAAGGTTGGAATCAACCTCATTTCTTTGTGCTGTACTTTTTTCTGTTGTTTTTTACTTAATACATAGTAAATGTTTTTGAACTGGATATATTACATTTATGATTTTCTTTGACTAACTGATTATCAGTGACCCATAGTAATCAAGTAATATGACAGGATTATAATTAAGGTATTGTTGGAAACCATCATAGAATAAAAACTGATATTTGCAAGAGTGACATGGTTGTTGCAGAATGGGTGTTGTTGTATAGAACAGTGCTTCGTAATATGATGTGAGCCATATAAGTATTTAAATTTTTCTAGTAGTCATGTTAAAAAGTAAAAGGACACATTTGCAATTAGTTTTCATAGTATATTTTATTTAGCACAATAGTATCAAAAATAGTGATATTTCAACATGTAATCAGTATAGAACATTTTGAGATACTTGACTTTTTTCTGCTAAGTCTTTGGACTCCCACGTGCATTTCATATTTACTGCATACCTCAGTTTGGATAATCACATTTCAGTTGTTCAGAAGTCACGTGTGGCTAGTAGCTACTACCATGGCAAGTTGAGGTGCAAACTCAAGTTTCCCAGAAGCATTTTAGTGTTCCTGGAAAAGTATAATAGAAAGATGAATTGAGTATCTGATAATCAGTTGACCACTTTTCCCAGTTTTCATAAGTTTTAGATGGGTAAAAAGCAAAGATAAATGTACATATTTTGAATGGGTAAATACTGGTACTCTTTTATTATTATGAAAAATAATTTGTCCTTTTATTTCCTTTCTATTGAGGATGAGCTAATTTATGACACTTTCATTTTTAGATTAGTGAGTTATTTAAAATGCCTATCACTTAGCCATTTAAAAGTTATTTTGGAAGTAAGTCCTTCATGTAAAACATATTTAGTAAAATTTGATTCTAGTTAGGTAGTTGGGGATACAAAATAAAAAACATGAGGTTCCTGTCCTTCAAGGGTTCACAGTATTGTGTTGTAATTGAAGTTTCTTTTAAGCATGTAGAAAAAAAGGAGTATTCAATAACCAAATGGGTATTTGGGTGTGGTAATAGGTATTCAGGCAATATGTTTGAGCAGAGTTTTAAAGGCCTGTTTGGAATGGGCTAGGGGCACAACAGGGCACAAAACTTCCAGCAGAGGTAGCAATGTATAAAAGCATGCAGGCACTGAATATTGTGCTAGGTGAATAGTAGACCACTTGCCATGATCAAGAAATAGTGAGTTGTTCTGAGATTTAGTTGGAAGGGAGATATGGGCTTATTTGCCTCATACTAGAAAATTCTGAATTTTTTGCTTTTAAGTGAAAAAGTAGGTATTGATGGATTTTTAATTTAAACAGAGGATAGCAGTTAGATTTGCATTTTTGAAAGATTGCTCTGAATGTGTAGAGAAAGATTTAGAGAGGAGATCAGAATCATAAATAGGAAGATTCCATTCAGAAGATACTGTAGGGAGCAAGACAAAACATGATAGACTGAACTGTAAAAATAAAAGAAAGAATTATTTATAGAAAGTTTAATAAATAAGAATTGGTATATGGTTGGATGTGTGGGGTTGGGGCATAGTTAAGAGCCAATGGCGATAGTAAGGTTTCTGACTTAACAGTTTTTTTGAGAAAAATGGAAGATGTTTTGGTTTTTTTAAGAAGTTTCATTTTAGAGCTGTTGAGTTTGAACATTTTTAGAACATCTAGCTATTGAGCTCCAGTAAGGCTTGAATATAAAGTTTGGTGTTTTATGAAATAATTCGAGGTCTAACAATACAGATTTGGGAATCATGGTGGAATTTTATGACATGGTAATTGTGATCACAACCATGGGGAATTAGAAAAGAAGGATCAGGATGAAATTTTAAGAGACTCTAGCATTTAGAAGGATTGGAGAGGTACTAAAACCAAGGGGGAAAAAAAAAGGATGAGATGAAGGTATGGGAAACCTAAGGAAAAATTTGGAGAGAGTTGCTATCTTAGAAGCCAAGGAAAGGGGAATTTTAATGTAGGTGTGGCTAGTAATGTAAATGCTGCAAAGTGAAAATACGGCAAGGTTTAAAAAGTGACTCTTGGGTTTCTTATGGGCTGGCAACCTCATTAAAGTTAGTTTTGTTCATTCGATGAATGGTGGGTACTGAGCCAGCATTTGAAGTGTAAGTCAGGGATGCAGCCTGCAGTCCAAATTCCAGGGCCTGTTTTTGTATGACCTTTAAGTGAGGAATGATTTTCACATTTTTAGAGGACTGTAAACAAAAAAAAGTCTGTATGATAGAGTCTGCTATAGCTTACAAAGCTTAAAATATTTACTATCTGGCCCTTTGCAGAAAAAGTTTGCTTTCTTGGTATAAGTTAAAGGAGTATGGTATTACTCTGTTTCAAGATGATTGACTGGGAAAGAAGAAACATAGAAAGCACTATTAGTTTGAGAGGGATAGACTTTTCCAACCTTCTGAAAACAGAAGTAAAAAAAGATTCATATTTGTTGTGATACTTGTTAGAGCAACATATTTGTATTATCTAAAATTGGTATGATTTTAGCACATATTATTTTCCTTATATTGTAATATGCATGAGTTTAACTGTGTAATTGGCAAGGCAGTTTATTCGTATGTTTATTTTTTGTTTCAGATAGTAAAAGAACTGTTAGCCCATTTTCTTCTCATCTATATTTAGGGAATGATGACGTCCAGAGTTATGTGGATTTTAATGCTTTTACAACTAGAAATTAATATAGATGATTATAGAATTAGCTTGTTAAGTAATGTATTTGTGTATGAGTATGCAGCTTCCATCTTTAATGTTCTCCCCATATGATCTTTTTGAGTAGTTAAAAAACCCTTATTTGATTTGAGTAGTCTGTTTATGCTTAAGAAGCATCTTAATGTAAATAATATTAATGTTTAACTTTATCTCTTGAGTTATTTGATTTCGTAATTTCAAAATATACTTACTATCCAAAGAAAATGTTACTTTTATACTACAAAGCATCTCTCAGTTGCTAATTTTCCTTGTTCGGTTCTTTCCAGCAAGCATATATTGAGTATTAACTAGGTACCCAGTGTTATCATTGGCATTAGGGACATAAAATTAAATAAGAACTGCTGATGGTCTCAAGTAGATAAAGGAACAAATAATTGCAAAACTATATGATTAAATTTAATGTGGGTAAATTTAGATTAAAGTACACTAGAGTATATTTATTGATACCTCATTCTGATTGGATGTCAGTTCAATGTGGATAACTTCAAATGTCTGAAAAGCTTACCTACAAATTCCGTTCAAGTGATTTTAAACTGTCAAGTCAGAAAAATATTAAATTCTTATACAACAATTTCATTGTTTTACTGTTAATTATAGCGAAGGAAGATGCAAACTGTGCAGTGTGCGACAGCCCGGGAGACCTCTTAGATCAGTTCTTTTGTACTACTTGTGGTCAGCACTATCATGGAATGTGCCTGGATATAGCGGTTACTCCATTAAAACGTGCAGGTTGGCAATGTCCTGAGTGCAAAGTGTGCCAGAACTGCAAGTAAGTTTTAATTTCAATTCAAAGGTGTGTATTGAGTTTAAGAGAGACCCTATTATTAGGTGCTAAATAAAGTTTGTGTAATATGGTAAACATTGTTCATATTGCAGCTATATTCATTCAAATTGACTTCATACCTTAAAAAACTTCCTGGATATTGATTAGCATTTATATTATTTTGAAGCAAGTCTAAACAAAACTAATTATAATAATTTAAATTGTTCTGGTTGCCTAAAAAGCGAATTTAAATTTGCCAGTAATTTTTATAAATGAGTAATATTAGCAGTTTAAAGTAATCATTAGGGAAAAAAAAAAGCAGCTTTTTTTGAGGGGTACTAAGGAGATTTAATAGGAAAATAAAGCAACTACAGAAGTTAGTTTTTAGAGTTGAGTAAAAAAAATCAGTGGGATATTTGAATTTCCATGTTTGACTTTCCATTTTAGGAAGGATAATTTCTACTAAGACTATTGTTTTAATACAGTCCGTATCTATATCTATCTAAAAGACAAGTAGATTCTGGTCACTGTGAATCTAAAATGAAGTAATATGTGGCATCTAAATATTTTTAATAGAATTTTCTTTCCCTACTTGTTGTATTCCATCTCCTGGTCATTTCTTCAATCTTTTCTATGAGTTCTCCTTTCCCCACAATACTAATTAGCATGATAATCTGGGAATGTTACCAGCATCTTCAGCAATCTTCCAGTTATTTATAAACTGAGAATTTTTGTAACCAGCAAGACTTAATGTCCATGATCAGTCTGTTTTATTTGTTATTTAATTTGATAATGAGCATCAATATCTTAGAATTATGAGGATTAAATAGGACCATGTACTTTCGTATTTTGGTAAAAATTAGATTAAATGTCAGTAAACATTTATTTGATACCTTATATCACTGCACTTAGTTTCTTGGGAAGGAATAAAGCAACTTAAGAGTGCCTGTCTTCCAAGATCTTTCCTTGTAGCTGAAGAGATAAAATATGTAACTTTATAAATTAGAATTTGTTGAACTGAATAATAACTGGAGGCCAGCTGACCTTCTAAGTTTACTTCTATTTATCCCCAGGTTTTATCCAGAGGCCTCTTCAATTCTTCTTGCATTCCCCATTTTTTTTCCTTTCCCCTTCTCTTGAACTTAAATTCTGAGTATCTGAAAGTGATTTTTAGCCAAAAATCAAGGCAGAGATCATGATGCTGTAGGATAAGGGCCTGATTTTTGGGGGGCAGAAGATTGTTTAGAGAAAGGTTTTAAGTTTTCAACTATAACTCTTAATAATAATGCCCATGTTAGTATTTTTAAATACATACTATTTTGCATTTATTGCTTAGTGGACAAAGCTCTTGAACCAGCATTACTTTTAATTCTCACAGCAATCTTTGATTATTATTCTCACTTTATACCTGGAACTCAAGAGAGCTTCACTCTATGTTGTTAAGAATGACACAGCTTCGACACAGCAGTCTGACTACAAGTAGATCTGATGCCAAGTTTATCCTTTTTACACTATATGACAATGACTTTCCAGTTCACTGTGCCAAGAGTTGTTCCTCTCCATGCAGTATCACCTAGCAGTTATAGTTCCTTCTCCGCAAAAGGATGGGTATCAGATGTTTAAAAAGTAAAGATCAGAGGTTATTCATCTTGCCTTAACCCCTCCTCCTTTGCAGGAATCCTAGAATGACTAAAGGAAGTTAACCATAGATGAGCATTGAGTAACGATAATCCTTTAGGGACCCACTGTAGGGGGTTTCCTCAATCATTATCTGCAGAGACAAAACAGATACTGAGGTATTTATGAACTGTGCAGTTCCCAGGACTGCTTCTTTCCATGACTACTTATGTTACAAAACATAAGTTTAAAGATAAGGCATCATTAATGCTATCTTATTTTTTAGACAATCGGGAGAAGATAGCAAGATGCTAGTGTGTGATACGTGTGACAAAGGGTATCATACTTTTTGTCTTCAACCTGTTATGAATTCAGTACCAACCAATGGCTGGAAATGCAAAGTAAGTTGTTTATTTTTTTAAGAAAAATATCCTCTGTATGTTTTATATATAGAGCAGACAAATTGGATACACCTATTCAAATTTATACATTACCATAAGCTTTTTAAAAAATAGCTTTATTGACGTATAATTGATGTACAATAAACTGCACACTTAAAGTCTATAATTTGAGATATGTATACACCATGAAACAGTCATCATCTTTAAGATAATTAACATAGTCATCATCTCCCCAAAGTTTACTGGTGCTTCTTGGGGATCCCTCCTTCTTGGCTGTTCAAACCCTTCTGTCTTCTCACTTTTTTGCAGTAGATTAGCGTTTACTTTCTAAAATTTTATATCCATTATATAGTATCTGTTCTTTTGGTCTGACTTCTTTAACACAGTGTTAAGTATTTTGAGATTCATTCATATTGTTGCACAGATCATTAGTGATTCCTTTTTGTTACTGAGTGGTGGAGATAACAGTTTATCGAATTACCTGTTAGTGAACATTTGAGTAGTTTATAATTTGGGGCTACTATAGAAAATGCTGCTGTGAACTTATAACTTATTAACTAATTCGGCTCCCCCATCCCCCAGCCCCGTCCCAGGGTGTGGCATTCAGAACAGGGTGGAGGTGGAGTGAGGTGGTGGAGATGGTCCTTAGAATATAGTGCTCCAGTTGACTTCCAAGTTTAGGCTTCCTGGGCTGCTGGGTTCCTGAGATTGAGGGGTGGAGCCAACCCTGAAGCTCTGCATGGGCCTGGAGCACATTTTTCCTGGAGCCGGAACTGGAAAGGGCATGGTGGCCTGCAGGAAGGGGAGTCATGGCCTTGCTGTTCAAAGGAGGAGGTGGAGGATCCTGGAAAAGAGGGCGACGTAGCCAGAACCCCATGTCCGGGCATAGGAACTGGGAGGACTGCTGAGAGAGAGCCTGTCGTGGTCTCTTCCCCTGCCAGTGAGGCTTGTCACCTGCAACTTGTGAAAGCAGCGTTACCAGGTTTTAGGGCAGTCCTCAGTGAATTCTGTTAGGTAGTTGCTGAAGTGGTGGAGGTAGAAATGAGAGGCCTTCCCACCTGGGGGACAAAGAGCCTCTAGGTAACTGTGCTCAGGTGAGGCTGCCTAGGAGGTGGGGCCTGTGAATTGAAGAAATATGACGACCTTGGGCCTGCTTCCTCAGGTAGTTCAGGTTCTTTCCCTGGCTGAATGAGGAGGTGGAGATGTGTTCTCTCTTGGGGTGGTTTTTTTTTTTTGGTTATCTGGTAAGGAAAAAACCCTACTGTTTGATAGACTTGTATATTTGTACTTTTATCTTCGCTAGTGCCTCTGCTTGCCTTTTTACTTTTCTGAAATATGAATTTGTAATTTTTTTAAGACTAGAAGTTTACCTTTGATTATAACTTTGGCTGCACCCAAATTTATTGTATTTGTAATATGCTTATATATATCTATATATCTAACCTATAGCTTTATCTTTCTCTTTTTAAGTTGTGCTGAAGCGTGTTCATTTCTACTTTGGTTGAATTTAATGTGAGACTATAACTAGTGTAGGCTTTTTAAACAATATTTTGATACTTGATTTAATGACTTTTTAAAGGTGTACCATTTGTGTTATAAATTAAATTTAGTTAGATGAGGTCCTTTCCCCTTATTTTTTGACTAGCTGATTCAAGAAGTTTATAGAAACTGACAGCTTTTGTCCTTCTCAATTTCTCCTATTTTATTTTTTTAACTTTTAAATTTTTTTAATTTTAAAATTGTGGGGTACAATTTAGGGTTAGTTATACAAGTATTCATTGTGCAGGTACCCTTGTTGATGAGGTGGGGGGGCACCACTTCCCCCAGGCAGATTTCCAGTACTGTCATCCTATTTTATTTTATTTATTTATTTATTTTTTTTGAGTTGGAGTCTCACTCTGTCGCCCAGACTGGAGTGCAGTGGCCACTGCCGGCCATCACAGCCTCGACCTGCTGGGCTCCGCGATCCTTCCGCCTCAGCCTTCCAAGTAGCCGGAATTACAGGCGCGCGCCCGGCTGATTTTTTTGGTTTATTGTAGAGATGAGGTCTCGCTGCCCAGGCGGGTCTCTAATCCGCGGGCTCAGGCAATCCACTCACCGCACCCTCCCAAAGGCGCGGGATTACAGGCTGAGCCACCGAGCCCGGCTCCTATTTTATTTTTTAACAAAATATTTTGTAGCTGTTATTTAGCGAACAGGTCAGGCCAGTGTTAATGTATTATGTCCTTTATCAGTATAAAATTACTTTTTATCCTGTGTGATGTCTCTTATTTGGGGTGGGACTAAGTTTTTTGCTTTGCTTCACACTATGCCCACAAAAGGTGTTAGTGCACCAGTTGAATGTCATCTTTTCACATCTTTTTATTTTGGATCCTTTTGCGATGTTTTAAGTGTATGTTCCGAAAGGTGTAAGAGAGCTTACTATTTAGATTGATAATTGTAATTGAAATGCTTGGCTATTTTAAGGCAAAATTGTTCTTCTAATTTCTGTTTTTCTCTTTCTTTTATTTCCTGCAGTGATTTACAATTCAGAATCTTACTTTATGAATGTAAATAATCTAAGTGATGAAAATATAAATTTTCTCTTCTCCCACTCCCCACTGAAAATGAAATATTTGCTTTTCTTTTCTCTTAAGACTTGACTTAAATTAACCTAGACTATAAACTTTGTCACTTTTTCTTTGCAAAAGATGTATTTCTTTTGTTAATTCTGACTTCACCTTCAATCATTTGGAGTCTTGGTTATGCTTCTTTAAAATGAATTGCCACTTTTCTGAAATCCTACAGATCTGAAAGAGACTGTTTCCTTTAAACTACCACAAAAATTTGGTTTTGTATCATGTTTTGTATTACAACTTTTTCTTTTTTCGATTCGGAAAACATTTTCTTCAGAGTTTTCCCAGTTTTCGGTATCACAGAAGAAAAATCTTGCTTTTTAAAAAAAACTCATAATTCTTCTGTCTGAAAACTTTGAGATATTAATTTGGATTTGCGTACAGGATACATCTGATAGTGGTTCTACATTAATTAGTTTTGTCTGGAACATGTTGACCACTGTCAGTCTCCAGTTAGCGCCCCCCCTTTATTTTAAACTTACTTTTTAAAAAAAATTACCTTCTTTACACTCTAATAGTATGTAGTAACAACTGTTTAATTTTTGTTTCCTGCTCGTAATTTATCTTCTTTATGTTTTTTATTAACTTGGGACTGTTTAGAAAATTCTGGATATGTTTCTCAGATTGTTCTGTCTTCCCTTTGGTCTACTCTCTTACTACTTTGCTCTCTGCTGTTCTCTTTCAGGATGACAGAATTATATTTCTGAGAATACTGTTGGATACTTGATTTTTTTAATTCTGTGTTTTATTCTGTAGTCTGGCGCTATAGTATAGTAGTTAAAAACTTAGGCTGTGGAGTCAAATTCCAGCTTTTTCAGTTACTAAATATATGATCTTTGGCTAGTTATTTGTTTTCCCTAAGTCAGTGTATTGAATGTTAACAGTACCTTACAGAATGTTGTATTTAATGAAATAATGTCTAAATGTGCCCTGCATAATGCCTAACACAAAGTAGGTTCCCAGATAATCATTATAGTGAGGTTTATCCTGTGAACCATTTGAAGAATGGCCCACTTCCTCTGCTGTTAAATTTTTTATTTGTTTTTTGTAGTCTTTCATCACAATTTACTCATTTGTTTGACATTTGAGGACTTTCTGTGTGTGACCTTCACTGTGATGGAGGCTGGGGGTAAATAGATGTGCCCCAAAGGGGTTGTTATTCTAGTGGGACTGCTCTCTACTAGGGCTGCAGCAAGGGTGATCTTTCAGGATCTTTGTTGTATACTAGTCGTCATCAGGTAGGTGTCATTCCTTGCCCCCTCCATTTTTCTCTCAAGATTGCCTGTTGGTATATTATACATTTAATAAAAGTTTTTATTTGAAAATAATTTCAAGCTTTAGTAGCTAGAAAAATAATACCCATATGTCATTTATCTAGATTCATTTATTGTTAGCATTGTGCATGCTGTGGTTCATTCTGCCTGTGTGTGTGCCCGCGCACACATGCATGCATGTGTATGTGCTGTGTCTGTGTCTCTCACTATTCCCCACATCCCCCAAACATTTGAGGGTAAGTTAAATACATTGTATTCCCTTTGTGCCTAAATATTTCAGTGTGTATTTACTAATAATAGGGACATTCTTACAAAATGACAGTACTGTTAATCAACTTCATAAATTTATGTTAATGCAGTATTTTTGTCGAATCTACTTCTATATTTCAGTTATGTCACTTGATCTAAGTTTCCACATAACCCACCCTGTGCCCCCTCCACCCCCGTACAAAACACACCCTGCAAGTGGATTCTTGGATCTGGTTTTTGTCACTGGTATTTTTGAAGAATAGAGCTCTTTCTCATATGCATTTTGTCTTTGTCTGACATTCCCTTATGATTAGATTGAGAGAACATTGTTGGCCAGAATACTGCATAAAGGACTATGTGTCCTCAGGATATCACAGCTGAATGCATGTGATATTCATCTGTCCTTCATAGGGATCACCTGGTCAGGCTGTTGTCAATTTTTTTTCTCCTCTATCTGGTACCTAATAAAGCAGCATATGAGGAGACCCTGAAAGAAGACCATGTGAATAGTTCCGCTTCAGAATTTCCTCCTAGATTTTCCAGCTCTACTTCTTCCTCCACATTTACCAGTCAGTCCTCTAAGGATAAGCAGATATATTTGTAATCTCTTGTTTTCACTTCTTATACTGAAGGTAGCATGCTATATCTGGAAATTACTTCATAGAGATCTTCTCTTCTTTTTAACCAGTTGCATAGTACTCCATTGTGTATATGTGCTGTAGTGTATTCAACTAACATCTTGCACTTGGATATTTAGGCAGTTTATAGCATTTTGCATTATAAATGAATTTGCAGTCTATTAACTTTTTGCATATGTGTTTTTGAATTGTTAGGAACAGAGCTACAGAGTAAATTCCTAGAAGTGGGATTATTGCCTTAAGGGTGTTTGCATATGTAGTTTTATTAAATGTTATCAAATTCCCTTTCATGGGACTTGAGGTACTTTGCATAGCCACCAGCAATATATGAGAACTTTTCTTACATCCTTGCCAACAGGATGACTTATTCAGCTTTGAATGTTTTATCTTATGGTTGAAAAATGGTATATCAGTATAGTATTAATTTTTATTTCTCTTATGAACGAAGTTGATTACTTTTTCTTATGTTTAGGGGTCAGTTTTTATTTCTTGTTAACTGTTTTTTCATGTGTTTTGACTGTTACTGAAGATTTTGGTGTTTTCCCTCTAATTTAAGAGTTCTTTATAAGTTAGGTATATAAGTCCTTTATGCTATATGATGCAAATATTGTCGTCTAATTTGTTATTTGTCTTTGCCTTTGCTTTGTTGTTTTTTGCATGCAAAAGTTTCTTTTTATGTAGTCAGATTTCTTAATCTTCTATTGCTTCTGGATTTTAAAATCAGAAAGTCTCTATACTGAGGTTGTAGATTTATATTATAGGATTTACATTGTTTTATTTTTTCACATTTAGACCTCTAATCCATTTGAAGCTGATGTTTGAATATGGTGTATTTTTTTCCAGTTGATGATTCAGTTTTTCTTTCATTTAAAAAAAAATGTCTTTGACCACAGTGACTTGAGATTCTAGGTTAGAGTTTTAGGTTCCATTGGACTTATATCTGAAACTTCTATTCAATTCCATTGACCTGGCTATTCATGTGCTCGTATCGCACTTGTAATTGTAGAGACTTTGTAGTATCTGGTAAAGCTGGACCTTCAGAGTTTTTCCTTTTTACATGTTTCCTAGCTGTTCTTGTATATTTATTTTTCCATGTGAGCTTTAGGATCAGCTTATCCAGCTCTAAGAAAAACCTCACTGAAATTTTTATTGAGGTCGCATTAAATTTATTAATTTATTTAGGGATAACTGACATACTGATTTAAGACATTCTAGCCAAGAAAAAGAAATGTCTACATTTGTTCAAGTCTAGTTTTGTATCTTTTAGAAGAGTATTGTATAATTTTCTTACGGATTTTGAATATTCCTTAAGCTTATTAAATACTTTTTAAATGTTGTTATAAATGGGGTTTCTCATTAATTATATTCTTTAACTAGCTATTACTTGTGTATATGAATTCTATTGACTTTTACATGTTGATTTTATATCCTACTTTGTTGAATTATTTTGATGAATTTATGAGCCACCATTCCCAGCTATGTAGGACTTTCTAGATTATCCAAGTATACTATTTTGTCATGTACAAATAATTTTATTTCTTCTTTTCTTCGTCTTATGCCTCTGTTTTCATTTGTTTCAATGTTTATATTGACTCTAGAACCATGTTAAAATATTAGTGGAGATAGTAGATAGCCTTGCTTTGTTCCTGGCCTTAGTGAAAATCCTGTAGCGTTTCTCCATATGATAAAGGTATTGCCATTCATTTTTATTTTCTCAAGAGTTTTTATTAAGAGTGAGTTTTGATTCCCCCCCCACCAAGACTTTTTTTTAGCAACTGTTGAAATTATTTATCTTTTTCCTGAGCTCAGACTTAATTTTTTTGTTGTTGTTCAGGATTTCACTCTGTTGCCCAGGCTGGAGCATGGTGGCATGCTTACATGGCACACCGCAGCTTCTACCTCCTGGGTTCAAGTGATCCTACCACATAAACCTCTCAGATAACTGGAACTGCTGTCTCATGCCTTCATTCCCAGCTATGTAGGATTTTTGCATCGGTGTTGTTAAGTGCATTCATTTTAAGTCTGTAAGACTGGCAAAACTACTACACTTCCTGCTACTTTTCTCTTTTTGCGTGAGCAAGCATTTCATATCAATCCAGTAGCTCAAGAGGATAAAGTTCCTGTTTTACTGGTGTTTTAGATTAGAAAGTTGGGTGTTTTAGATTGGAAAGTTGGGATTGATAATGAGAGCCTCACAGTTTATCAGCCTTTTAAAGCTGACTAGCTCACAAGCACAGAAGAAGTTTTGACTGGCCTCTGGCTGGCCTTGTACTTACTTGATAAACAGTTCCACTTTGGTAAAGACAGGACTACTCTTTTCTAAAAGCATGAAGAACCATCATTGGATTTTTGATATGAATCGATTATTTTTTACGATCTTGAATACTACAACACATGGATTGGATCATAATTTTTTTTTTTTTTTTTGAGTTGGCGTCTCACTCTGTTGCCCAGACTGGAATGCAGTGGCCGCTTTCGGCCACCGCAGCCTCGACCTGCTGGGCTCCGGCGATCCTTCCGCCTCAGCCTTCCAAGTAGCTGGAATTACAGGCATGCGCTACCATGCCCGGCTGATTTTTTGATTTATTGTAGAGATGAGTTCTTGCTGCCCAGGCGGGTCTCAAACCCGCGGGCTCAGGCAATCCACTCACCTCAGCCTCCCAAAGGCGCGGGTTACAGGCTGAGCCACAGAGCCCGGTGGATCATAATAGTTTTAGTGAGAGTTCTTGTTTTTAATTCCTGAGCTACCAAGAGCATGTGGAATACCACAGCAGCAGCATCATTTTGCTTTTCACAGTAGTGGGTTGATAGACTTATTTTATAAAAGTTATTTCATGATTCTGGAATATGTTTCTTTTGTGGTGTGTAAGTTGCTATGACCTTGGTTTTATTTCTTTCATATTTAATGTTTTCCTGGATGTCCCCATTCTCTATTAACATTTTCTTGGAGGAAATTAGTGCATATTTTATGTGGTCACACCAGACATGGAAAACAATTTGCCTTTCTGAAAGCGTATACCCTAAATTAGTGTTGTGAACATGAAAGCTGTGCATATAATCCACAAATGATTCATTGATCTTATAAAGGTTTGCATCAGGACGGCAATTACAAATACATGATGAACTGTTTTTGTTTTTATTTTTTCTGGTGTTTAGAATTGCAGAATATGTGTAGAGTGTGGCACACGATCTAGTTCTCAGTGGCACCACAATTGCCTGATATGTGACAGTTGTTACCAACAGCAGGATAACTTATGTCCTTTCTGTGGGAAATGCTATCATCCAGAATTGCAGAAAGACATGCTTCACTGTAATATGTGCAAAAGGTAAGAAGATATAGTTACTCCATTTAATTGATTTTTCTGCTCTTCTATCCTTGTGGCCATCCTTACTCTTCCATATATCTTAGACCTTCTAAGCTCTTATTGCTTCAGCAATCTCTCTAATAGATTCTCTAAGAGATTCTCTAAGAGAATAGAGTTCTCTTAGAGATTCTCTAAGAGAATAGAGTTCTCTTATAGATAGAATTAAATTGTGTTTTTATGAGTTTTAAATGCATAAGAAAGTACATAGGCAAAAGGTAAGACAAGACCAGACCATATATGAGCACTGAGAGGAAAACATAAAGAGAAAATAGCTTAAAAATGCAAAGTAGAAATATGCCAGCTCCTTTAATGACATCCACAAATGCGAATTCCTTTTTAAAAACCCTTGCCAGTTACCCACCCATGCAACCTCTCTCCTCTCATCCTTAATTAACCCTTCTAGATCCAGCTTCTGAGCAATTGCCTTATCTTTCTCTAGATATTAACTTGACTTCAGAAATTTTTATTTAAATATACTTATCACTACAGATGGGTTCACTTAGAATGTGATAAAGCAACAGATCATGAACTGGATTCTCAGCTCAAAGAAGAATATATCTGCATGTATTGTAAACACTTAGGCGCTGAGATGGATCCATTACAACCAGGTGATGAAGTAGAGATGGCTGAACTTGCTACAGGTAAACTTTAGAATGTGTGTGTGTGGCTTTTGTAATAATCCCGAGCCAACTTCTCAACCTTTAAATGTACTTATTATCTTGGTCATCTCTGAATCCGTTGTCTAAAATCTAAATTGTAGCTCTTTAAGATAGTTCTCTTACTAGAATTCTGGGTCTGGTGTGCTTTCCTTTACTTGTTTTTGAAGCAGACAGTGGAAGTTCCCCAACTTTTGTTCTTTATAATATGAGTTATTTTGGTCTAAACAAGTTTTAGTTTCATAATGTCCTTTATAAATGTTAAAAAGGTCTATCACTTCTTGAGCGCAAGATTTCATTCAGGTATGGAATATTTTTAATAGTATCCTGCTGTTAGAAACATAATAACAAGAATCTCATCAAGTACAGAAAATAGACGTGCCCAGCAGATTCTTTTGCATTTTCATCAGTATGAGTGGCAACTTCTATAAAATCTCTGTTTCATCTGTGGGAGTTTTAAGTAGAAGCATCTTAATTACTAACCTTTTGTTTCCAGGATACCATCAGTGTATAGTTTTGAGATATATTTTAAAATAATAAGGTGACAGTTACATCTTAATACATTATAATTTTCATGTTATTTTAAACACAAATATATAGTTGATCCAAAAGAGAAAAATCTGAAGAAAAACTTAGAGCATTTCTGGTGATAATTTACCCTCTTTAGAATAAAGTCATAATTGTTTGCTTTAATTAAGTTAATTTAAAAAAAACTAATTTTGAGCTAAAGTATAAATAATTTTCTGTAAAGATTATAACACTGAGATGGAAGTCGAAGGCCCTGAAGACCCAATGGAATTTTTGGAGCCCGCGGTTAATAAAGATGTCAATTGTCAAGATTCCACCCCTGGAATTGTTCCAGATGGTAAGACTGTATAATGGGTATACACTATTTTTTTTGGGGGGGGGTATGTATTCAATAAATATGTGAATACTAAAACTGGAGTATACTAAATAAAAGTTAGCTAAGATATAGGCTTGTAGGGTATTGCTTAGATAAAAGCTTTTTAGTAAAATAATCTTAGACAAATTAAGAGGAGAAAGGACATGCATTTCTTTGTAGCTTGGCTATAATCTAGGTTTAATCATAAGTATGTACTTTGTTTAGGGAGCAAGTGCTTTTCATTAAAAAGCAGTTCGTATTTTTCTTTAGTTATACTTGTAATTACTAACTAGAGCTGCCTCTGATAGATGTTTCATGCTGAGATAATGAAAAATTTATTGTGCTCAATCGTCTCAGTGGTCCACTTGTGTTATTTCAGTTATTTTGATGATGTTTCAATTAAGGTTTTGGGAATAACATATTGATAATAGCTATTAATATACTTAAAATCTAGAATTAACAAGAGACCATGTTGGGGGAAAACTATCATTAAATTTAATCACAGGTCTAGCGGAACGTCTATGGTATTATATGTGCAGTTCTATGTTAAATTATAGTTTGAGTTCATATATAAAAAGCCACTGAGATTCTTTAGAAGTTTATTAAGTTTATATGTAACAACTCTCATTGAAAGTTATACTTTATAAAGATGTTAAGAAAAATAAGAAAAAGCTATAGTAAGAAATCTTATCATAGTGCATAGATTTTTAATTTTATTTTCATACCTACATACTAGTAGATAGTACAATGTTTTGTGCATATATTGGAAATTGACATTTAATAGAGTAAAACTCTTACTCAGATTACTGTTGAGGAAGCAGTGTTAGATTTTTATTACTTGCTGGAGAGTCCATAAATGTGTTATTCACAGCAGTTCAAGTCCACACTGAAGAGCAGCAGAAGAGTAAGCCATCAGAAAGTCTTGACACAGATAGTCTTCTCATTTCTGGTAAGCAGTATGTTCATATTGTCTAATTTGACTGAATTATAAGATAATATCTTTATGGTTGCTATGCAGTTTCAAGTCACTGTCCATTCAATTAACTTTTCAAGTAAACTATCCAAAGACATTTTTGAAGTTGCTACACACACACACACACACACACACACACACACTGTAGTAGTCAAGCCTTATTTAAGTGATTCTTTCCTTGAAAATAATTGGCAGTGGATCTAAAAAAGGTTAGTTTGTCTAAAATATGTTTTCTTGTTTAAAAATACTTAGTATTAGTAGATCTGTTATTTGGTGTTTTTCCTTTATTCTCATTTTCCAATGAAGCAGGAATGACAAAGGAGATTTCATTTTGATGTCAGAATATACATAAATTTTAGTCACAGGCTGTTAAATAGCAAATAAAGATATTAGTGTCTTTTTAAAAATTTTTTTATTTTTATGAGTTGGAGTCTCACTCTGTCTTCCAGGCTGGAGTTCTGTGGCACGCTCTTGGCCACTGTAGCCTCCACCTGCTGGGCTCATCCAGTCCTTCTGCCTCAGCTTCCATAGGTGCTCGCCATCACATGTGGCTAATTTTTTGATTTATTGTAGAGACGAGTTCTTACCATGTTGTCTAGGTTGGTCTTGAACCCGTGGGCTCAGGCAATCCGCTCTCCTCAGCCTCCCAAAGTGCTGGGATTACAGGCGTGAGCCACTGCACCTGGCTCAAGTGTTTTTATTAGCATAATTTTAAAATTATTTTGAGGGCATTTAGAACAAATGTTTTTTTTATCTTTGTTGGTCCTACTTTATAGAGCCACTTACAGCTAACGTCAGTTGGTTCACTAGCTTTACTCTTAAGCAAGATTGGGTTAGGAATTTAACATACTAGTATCCTGATTTAAAATTTAACAATCAATGACTGTATATACTTCTGATATCTGATTTTGTTTATAAACTTGCTAAGATTATTCTTGTAGGTTATAGATAATGATGAAGAGCAAGGTTTATATTGAAAAAATGTATTGTGTAGGTTGGCAGGTACAGCTAAGCAAAGTAAGTCTTGGTGGGTAGTAAATCTTTTCTATCTGTGCTCATTACACATTTGAGTCTACAGCAGCTTTATTACATCTGGGTGTCTGCTATTGGAAAATACCCTTACATTCTGACCAATCTTCACTTTTTATCTTGGGCACCTCACATTACATCACCGATCCTCATTTTCCCAGCTTTAAAATGTAGATGATAACTTTACCTATGTATTTTCCAATCCATTTGTGAAGACTTAAATTGTAAAACATATATCCTTTTACATAGGATAAGGGCTTTCATAAGGGTTTCTGATCTATGACAGTTTCTAATCCGTAAATCCTTGTGTATTTTGGCTTATACTAACTTGATAATTGCCTTTCTTGATGAATATTTTCTGCTTTAAGTCTTGGTTTAAGTAAATGTCTTACACCTATTTGTAGTTAGAAATGTTTAAATTGATTTGTACGTTGACATAAATATTCTGACTTTTATAGAACCATCCCAAAATCAAATGAATACTGAAGCAGAAAATCAGACTTCTAATGAAATTGATAGTGAAAAAAGGGAAATATCTTCTAAAGTGATGCATTATTGTGATGAAGATAAAAGTGAAGACAAAATGGAAGTGGCAGAAAACATCAAAGTTCTTCCTCACGAGATCATTGTGCGGCAAGAGGAATTGCAATTTTTAGAGGAACCTAAAACAATGATATTCAAAAAAGAATCAAGGCCTCCAAAACTAGTTGGTGAATCTATCACTGTCCCACCAGAAGCCTTAGTGTCCCTACTTGAGGAAGGTACCTCATTAGGTTCTAAGGAAGCGTCAGTTGTAGAAAGGATACAAGAAAAACTGGAACAGAAAGAAAATTCTGAATTTTCCACCAGACTGATGGACTCTGAAATGACTCCTGTAATTGAGAATTGTGTGAAAGATGGTTCATGCCAAGGAGATAAATCTATAAAATTATCATCTGAGACAGAGGCATTATTTTCATCAGCAGCAGACATTAGTAAGGCAGATGTGTCTTCCTCTTCAACACTTTCTTCAGACTTGCCTTCACATGACATACTGCATAGATATCCATCAACTCTCAGTTCTTCTACTGGAAACATCATGCCAACAACTTACATCTCAGTCACTCCAAAAATTGGCATGGGTAAACCAGCTATTACTAAAAGAAAATTTTCTCCTGGTAGACCTCGGTCCAAACAGGTAGGATGATTTTAATGATGTTGACAGAAACGATGTTGGAGCAATTATATAAAATAAGAAGGTATATGTGTAGTTTTGGTGTGGATGATAACTTTTTCTTTTCTTTCTTTATTTCTTTTTTTGAGTCAGAGTCTCACAGTCACCCAAGCTGGGGTGCAGTGACACTATTGCAGCTCACCGCAGCCTTGATGTCCTGGACTCAGGTGATACTTCTGTCTCAACCTCCTGAGTAAATGGGATTACAGGCGTGTGCCCAGCTAATTTTTTTTTTTTTTTTTTTAATAACTGAGGTGAGGTCTCACTGTGTTGCTCAGGCTGGTCTTGAAATCCTGGGCTCAAGCAGTCCTTCTACCTTGGCCTCCTAGAGATAGGATGAGCCACCTCTGCCTGGCCAATCGGCAACTTTTCTATCCTCAGGTAGAATTTAGTTGTAATATTGACTTTGGTCATTATTTTTTAAATGCTGCAGACAAAGATTGTCATTTATTAAACTTGAATGGGATATCGTTTGAATTTTCAACTTAGTTGACATAAAAATGTAATCTATTTGATTATAGTTTGTAATAAAAAGCGCTTAAGAATTTTTTTTTGTGCTGTGCTCATAGTATCAGTAGAACCTAAAAACAGTTAAGTTTTTGGAATACGGTAACTAACATTTATTATTCCCCTCTAATACATTTAGAGATATTATACAGTGAATATATTTTTAACTGCGTAACTACTGTCAACATTTATGAAGGGAATTTTTCTTGCTGAGGAATTTCTCATTTTGATGTAACTATTGATTGCCAACGCTTGTGGGCTTTTTTTTTCCTCAAGTGGAACTTAATTTCAACAGTTTCATGGAAAAATTAGGATTGTACTGTTGATCTTCAGTAATTGAAATATTCCTGTGATTGTTTTAAGTAATGTGCATTCTACCCTTTAAGGATAATTTCAATATCTTTTTAAGTGAAATTTAAGTAAAACTACATGGCAAAATGAAGATACTGTGGCTAAGAATTATTATTATTATTATTGTTATTATTTTTTGAGTTGGAGTCTCACTCTGTCACCCAGACTGGAGTGCAGTGGCCGCTCCCGGCCACCACAGCCTCGACCTGCTGGGCTCCGGCGATCCTTCTGCCTCAGCCTTCCAAGTAGCTGGAACTACAGGCACTTGCTACCACGCCAGGTTAATTTTTTGATTTATTGTAGAGATGAGTTCTCGCCAGGTTGCCCAGGCGGGTCTCGAACCTGCGGGCTCAGGCAATCCACTCACCTTAGCCTCCCAAAGGCACGGGATTACAGGCTGAGCCACCGAGCCTGGCTGGCTAAGAATTATTTATTGTCCTACAAAATCACTGCTTTCTGAAGTATTTTTTAAAATTGCAGGATACCAAACAGTGGAGCAGCATTTAGTCAAAATGGCATTTTGGAGTTTTAAGTTTCATGCTTTAAATTGGTTCCAGTGATTAAAATTTGACTAATCTTAGATTAATATTTTGACCTTGATATTGGATTAATATATTATTTTGGAATTGTAAGTCCAGCTTTGAAACAAATTTAACTTTATTTTAATGTGAATATTAGTCTTCTCTATGTAAAGCTCAGGTATTTTTATTTTATAAAGTTACACCAAAGGGAAATTCATTGCCACATAATTTCTCTATGGTGAAGATGTATCCAGGAAACTAAAACTCTTAAATATACCCATTTTAAAATATTTTCTTTGATATTTATTTCTGCTCTACCAAGAGAGAGATTTTTCTAACCACTTCCCTTGAGTAAGGCTTTTCCTTTTTTCCTTCCTTTTTTTTTTTTTTAATTTTAATAATGATATGTTGACTATGTTGTTCTGACGCTGATTTGCTTTTGGTTCAGATAATTATATTCTTTAAAGATAGTTCATGACTGGGCGCAGTGGCTCACGCTTACAATCCCATCATGTTGGGTGGCCGAGCTGAGAGGATTACTTGAACCTACAGGTTCAAGACCAGCCTTGGCAACTTGGTAAGACCTCATCTCTACAATAAATCAAAAAATTAGCCAGGCGTGGTGGTGCATGCCTGTAGTTCCAGCTACTTGGAAGGCTGAGGTGGAAAGATCACCTGAACCGCGCAGGCTGAGGCTATGATGGCTGTGAGCATAGCACTGTGTTCCAGCCTGGGCGGCAGAGTGAGACTCCAACTCAAAACAAACAAACAAACAAAGATCATTATAGACAGTGCTTCCGCAATTGTAGAACATGTAAAGATAGCATCATGTTTCTTCTAAATCGATTAGTGCAGATGTTTACAGCTCTTTTATTGAGAAAAAATGAGTAATATTACAACAAAGTGTACATGGGATTCTGACAACTTACAGAGAATTTCACACCTGTAACATCACTTTTTATTCTCTCAATTACCTTTGCCAAAAGAAAAGTTATTTCCATTTTAGGGAGGAAAATGTTGGAGATTTCAATACCTTTGTCATGGACACACAATACTAATTGCAGATGAAAGAGCTGAAGCTGGAACTGTTAACTCCTGTGTGTTGAACCCTTCCCACCACGCAAACATTCAGTTCATCTGATTGTGTACTGAAGTTCAGTGTTTCAGGATTCAATCAGACAAGTAACTTTCAAAATAACATTAATTTAGTTAATTTAAAAAGTAAAATAAAGATAGTGCATTATAAATATTCCTATTAAATTTTACTGATAGCTCTCCGTATTGGACACTTTTGTTTGTCCTGAGAAAGCAGATTTAATACAGAGGACTATTTTTCTGTTGACTTAATGTTCCACAATACTGTGTATGTGTATGTGTATTATTTTCTTCCAGGCTCATTTCATCTTATATGAGCCATATCATAATATTTGCTATTGCTTTGACTCTTTTGTTTCTCAATTCCCAAATCCAGTAATATCTACTTTTTATTTTGCTGCCATTATGTCATTTCTACTTTATCATTTGTTGCTGATCTCATAAGCAGTTTGTAGGCTTTTTTTCCTCTCTTTATCCTTTTAGTCTTCCATTCTTGGCTTTAGTTACGTAGCAAACAACCTTTACTTGGTGATTCGTGTCTTGCTAATACAGTTATTGTAGAGAGTATGAGTTGAATAGGATAAAATAGATCTTCCATCGGTGAGGCACTGGGACCATAACTTCCATTGAATAGTGTGTACATGATAGGAGAGTGTATACATCCCTGTGTTGGAGATATTAAAGTTCATTTAAAAAATAAAAATAATCAGGTGAAATCAATTGTAATATATTTTGTTTAACCTAGTGTATTCAAAATATTTTAGTATTTAATCAGTTTAAAAATGAACGAGATTCTTTACACCTAAGACACATCTCAGTTTGGACTAGCTATGTTAGAAATACTCAGTAGTCAGGTATGATCCTTATGTGCAGTCCTTATGATGTAAGGCACACCATTTTGAGAAACATGAAAACAACTGCTGTAGAATTATTGGTAAAATTTTAAGAAATACCAAATGATTTCAAGAATGACAAAGAATGTTACTATTCTTTTACTATTTTTAAGGACTGAAGTAGAAATATTCTACTTTCTATTGTTCATAGGACACATACTAAACCACTTGTTATAGCAACAAGTCACTGTACACATTTTCAGTGTATTTTAAGTTATTATACAACCTAGATTTATAACCCAGTATAGGCAGTTTTCTGAATCTGAGATGTCAGGTCACAGAAAATGGAATTTATATTTCAGCTATTGGGAATCCGTTATCAAATGGCAAACCATATAGAATTATTTTTCCTTACAGGAGGATAGTAATTCTAGTATAGTGTTTCGTATTGTTCTTTTTATATGGAATATTTTAGGTGCTATTTTATGAGAAATATAATGCTTATTTTCTTCATGAGATGTTTCTCAAATATATGCTTCAGAACCTTACTGACTACAGGAATAGTATCAAATATTTCTCATGACTGTCAAAAGAATAAAATTCTGTGTTTTTTGTTTTTTTTACCTATTTTAGACACAAGATTTCACAAAGATGAGGAGGAAAAATTAGATTTGGTAGGTAGTGGGAGAGGGAAGCAGGTGAGAGTACAGCGGATTAGGTGTTGTTATATACAAATTGCTTTCATGAGCCAGTTGTATTTTCTTATCTTTTATTGAGGTTATAGATTTATAAATATTTTAATATTTCATTTTTCAGCATTTTTTATAGTTATAATAACTTTGGGTCTTGGGTTTAGAAAAGTAGTTATAGATACTACCATGTGTTATGATCACCTGGGGAACTTTTAGGACATCAATGTAAAGGTCCCATGTTCGACCAATTAAAATGCAACTTCTGAGGGTTGTTGACAGTAATCTTAAAAAGTGTAGTTCTGAATTAGAGAAATATGCTACTTATTGTTTTACTGGTTTGCTTTTTTTTGATTTGGAGTCTCACTCTGCTGCCCAGACTGGAGTGCAGTGGCCGCTCCTGGCCACCGCAGCCTCAACCTGCTAGGCTCCAGTGATCCTTCCGCCTCAGCCCTCCAAGTAGCTGGAACTACAGGCGCACGCTACCACATCTGGCTAATTTTTTGATTTATTGTAGAGATGAGGTCTCGCCAAGTTGCCCAGGCAGGTCTCGAACCCGGGGGCTCAGTCAATCCACTCACCTCGGCCTCCCAAAGTGCTGGGATTACAGGCTGAGCCACCGAGCCCGGCCTGTTTTACTGGTTTTTTAAATGCATTAAATATACAGTGGAAATTTTTAATTTATATTGTTTAAAAATCATATTATTTCTTTTTATTTCTGCCTTTTGTCCATTTCTCTCACAATGCAATACAGTTGTCTTTATCCATTCTAATTTAGAAATTCTGAGATGATAATAATGCTATGTCTTCTTATATTATTTATCCTACATGTATCATCACGTTTTATTGGAAGATATTTAATGTAGTCATATGTCTGTGATCTAGTTCAGACACTGTCCTGTTCTAATTGCTTTCGTGGTGGTCTTGTCAGTTTTTCATAAACATTTTATGAAATACATTTTTATTAT